CAGTATATATGGAATCTGGCTATTTGAGTATAGAAAAGGCCCCGGTTGTAAATTAATTTGTTTGAAGGGCCAAATTATTTTTATAGTTGATCTCACAGGCCAAAGATTATCTCCACCGATTAAAAGCAATCGTTAAACATACGGGTGAAACGCTCTTCGCTAAGATAGGTCTATTTGTTTTTTGGCAATTTCAAATTATAATGTTAATTGTACTACACCTGTCTCTTATACACATCCCAGTGTTACACAAACAACTGAAACTGCCATTCGTGTTCTCACACTCAGCATTAATGTCACAATCATGAATATTCTCTTCACATTCTTGGATGTCAGTACACTGGAACCCGTCTCCACGGAAACCTGTGTTACATGTACACACGTAAGATCCTTCAGAGTTACGACACGCGGCATTCGTGCTACAGGTAGAATCATCACACTCATTTATATCTATAATATGTAAACAAAGTAAGGATGATTAAATATAGCTCCAGATACTAGACTACTTACGGTATTTAGCAAGCCACACAACAATTATTATTGAGAGCGTCTCGATTTAAGTATCTAACTCACCATCACAGGAGTCGCCTGTTTGGTTATAAGCAAACCCTATATTGCAGGTACAATTGTAAGAGCCCTCCGTATTGGTACAAAACGCATTATCTGGACAAGTTCCCGGAGTATCACATTCGATGATATCTAGTAATAACAGAAAAATTCCAAAATATACATTTTATTTAAATTAGTGAAAATAACAATAATAATAATAATAATAATAATAATAATAATAATAATAATTATTATTATTATATTAAAGTAATGAGCAATAATAATAAACAAAAACAATAAAAAACCACCATGACTACGACGAGAACATTATATTATATATAATCATATACAGCATATAATATATAACAATTACATTATTGTATAAGGTGATATTATGATAATAACTCACCAAAACAATCAACCCCTGCGCCAAGAAAACCATTATTGCAAGTGCATGCATACGAACCCTCGTTGTTGGTACAGTTAGCATTCGGATCGCAGTCATTTGCATCATTTTCACATTCATCAATATCTTGTTATGAAATAGGTAATGGAAAAAAAATGGCTTTTTTTGGTAAAGGTTTCCAGAGATTTTCTTTATTTCTGCAGTTGACATTATAGTCTATTGCAATAAATCTAAAATTTACAATTGAGTGAACAGTTGAATTGGATGTTCAGCTACTGATTGATCGAGCTTAGAGGTTTTGATAGCTGATGTATGTTGTGTAAAGTCTTATACAAAGGATGCTATTTGTTTCTCTGACATATAGTATTGTTTACCAAAAAGATTACAATAATATGAGATATATCATTTTTGTTGAGACGTAATTGCCTTATCCGGAATAGGGCTATGTGATTTTTTTTTGGTTGCTCTTGAATGATGTAGAGTCAAGCAAATGAGCTCTTTTGCATGATGTACCATAAAGATGACTGCCCAAATTATGGCTGTCGCAAATACATTTGCCTCTTGAATTTAGATCTCACTAACTTGGCATATTATATGAATTATAGCCCTTAGTGGTGGTACCCCAGGGTGATAGGTACACTTTACGTACAGCATGGCCTTTGAAAGTATAAAAAAGCACAGTATGTATGGAATCTGGCTATTTGAGTATAGAAATGGCCCCGGTTGTAAATTAATTTGTTTGAAGGGCCAAATTATTTTTATAGTTGATCTCACGGGCCAAAGATTATCTCCACCGATTAAAAGCAATCGTTAAACATATGGGTGAAACGCTCTTCGCTAAGATAGGTCTATTTGTTTTTTGCCAATTTCAAATTATAATGTTAATTGTACTACACTAGCAGTCGGGTTGAGCCATGGGCCAAAATTGGGTGGCGGGAAATTTGTGTGGGGACGTGTCATCAGTTTAACAGTCGGGTAGTCAACTTTGGTGGGTCGTTCTATCAATGTAATTGACCACAATACATAAGCTACGCTAAGAGTCTGGACATTTTTTGAAAAAAAATGCAAAAGGTTATCCGCATTTTTGGGAGCACTGTCTTTTGGTACACCAAATTTTTGTTATCCCTGTAAATTAAAAGAATGCTATTTACGAATCAAAGTGAACAGAAACAAAACACAGAGGCGGAACTTGGTGGCACAATTGACGGCACTGTTTATGACTTGAAAAGAATAATATTGACAGTGATAAGATCAAAACACAGAGACAGAGCTTAGCGGCACAGAGAGTCCTGTATAACACAGCGTTATTTGTAGGACAATCGAAATGCATTTTATGAGCACATGTTCCTTGGTTCACTAACATTTTATTACCAGGTAACGTTAAGTACGAATGTCATTAACGATTAAACCCAATAGACGTAGTGCAAAATAACATAAATTTTGTGTTTACCTATGATTTAACAATGGTTTTTTTTCTATCATGATTCTTCATGCATCAGGGCTCTACAATCATTACAATTTTAACACGTCTATGATAAAGTTTTTACTCCCCTGAGCTGATATGTCAATTTCAGACGAGCTAATAAGGTCTTATTGAGAGTTTTTTTGGTATTCTTTACAGGGTTTAATTTTAGGTCTGAGCGGGGTAAGCCCTACACCATAACGCGTTTTTTTTTTTTTTTTTGGCTTGTTAAAATCCTAGAGGAATAATTTAGACATGCAGAGATAAATAAGACCACGAAAAGCACCCAGTGATTGTTTTTTTTTTAAATATTCATGCTTATTAGTTCGCCTAACTAACCTTAACTAGCGCCCTCTGTAATTTCTGCCTTAACTGTATAGGGAAAAATAATTTAGTCCGGATAGTTTTTTTTTTTTTTTTTTTTTTTTTTTTTTCCGTTAATTTTTTTTTTTTTTTTTTTTTTTTTTTTTTTTTCTGAATTCTGAAAATAAATCCAAAGAACAAACGCCTCATGCACAATGCTTGACTGTACGGAAAGTTTTTATACAGTGTTGAAGAGAACAGCAGCTGCTAGCAGGTGCATATGTTCATCATTGGCTTAACGGATTTGGTAGCAGAGAGTTGGCTCCACTATGTGTGAGCCCTTATTTTTATGAAGGGATAGACGTAAGTCATCTTATATCGTGCGGGCCGCGATTTTTTTTTCCGTACGGGCCTCGTTGGCCTAACGACTGTACGACGCTCACAGAGATAGCGAGAGATTGCGGGTTCCATTCCCAACATGTTTAAAATAAAAGGTGGCTCCACTATGTGTGAGCCCTCTAGTTGGACGAAGGGAGAGAGACTAGTGGTCTTAGATCCGTAATTATATTGTACGGGCCTCTGAGGTCTAACAGCATGACGCTCGCCAGGATTTCCGGGTTGGATTCCCACTAATGACCTCTTTTTTCATACAACTTATCAGGAACATTTCGTGGATGTTTGATACGATTTATTACATCATGTTTCTATATATTTCAGTACTGTTCTTATCTATATGATTTATACATTATTTTTGTTTTGTCTAACGGAGGTATGACGCTCACCGCTCACCGAGAGAGCGACAGATTGCAGGTTCGATACCCAGTAGAGACCATTTTTTCATACAATTTATTATGTACTTTTTGTTGATAATTTTGATACGACTTATTACATCGTGTTTCTACATATTTGAGCGTTATCTTATTATCTATTTGATTTATACACTGGTAGTTTAGCATACCTAAATATATTCTCTTCATATTTATGGTGGATAACATATCACGTGACATTGGTTATTTACCACTTTCGTCACTTCTCATGGAAATTTAGTTCCACCGTGCATTTTGATTTTCTTCAGTGAATTTTATTTCCAACAACTGTTAAAACTGTATAATTATAATAAAGATAACACTTCCAGTGACTGAAAGTGTTTCTTTCATTTTTCGCTATAAAATGGCGGATAAACATTTTGTTTAAATACACCAATTTTTATGTTCAAGTTTATAATCTTTATGTTGCTTCAAAATGGGCAAGTTAATATTTTTTACAATTGCTTTTGGTATTTTGCAAGGGACAATACATCTTTAATTCATGTTATATTTATATTTCTAGTGCAATTGAATTGTGATGTAATTTAATTAATGTGTTTTCTTTTATTTTACACCAAATTGACTATCAATTTGATGGACAATAACATTTATCTTTTATTATGATCATCGTCATTCTTGCCTCAAACATTCTTAAAAACATGCTGTACGATCTGAGTATGATCCTTGATTCATTCAAAATGCATGAATCGTTGTAACAGATATGCTGCTGTATTCGGAGGACGATCTAGGTTAAAATTTAGGTTGAGGATAAAATGTTTCCAAGAAATCCCAAAAAGAAAGGGGGATCAAAAATCAAATTTCGGGAGCTGAAAATTGTGATTCTTAGATGGCGGGCAGGAAATGAGCTTTCCCGACATCTGAGGTGTTTTTTTTTTAATGAAGTTCTTCAAAATTCAAGGATTTCCCCCTCTTGAAAATGGTCAGGTCGTTATTATTACAGTAAATAGGCCTATTATGTCTGTGCCGGTAAACATACAGAAAAAAAAAAGAGTGGTTGCATACTTATTGTTTTTTCATGAATCGAATATTTTATTTTCTGTATGAACAATTGCTTTTTAGCTTTTTTTTATCGGGGGTTAGTGTGTGTGGTGGGGGGTGTGGGTGTGTGTGTGTGTGTAGATCAATGCAATTATTTAAACATGAAAGGAGGGTCTATGTCTACGACATGATTACCTGTACAAGCATTTAGACCGTCACCACTAAATCCAGATCGGCATGTGCAGTTAAAACCTCCAATTGTATTCAAGCAAGTTGAATCATCATGGCATGGATAAGGGTTAGTACTCCTACACTCATCAATATCTAAATTATTGGTATATAAAGAGTCCAATTAGATACAAAAGGCAGAGTAATTTCTCTGTAATACAATACCATTGTAACTTCCACAGTATATCTTAGATATAACTTTTTAGCCTACAAATATTATATGTTAACATAAGGATAAAGGTAACAGTAACAACAATAATAGAAATAATAAAGATATTAACAATAACAATGGGCCCTATTATAATCATATAATAATCTGAAATTACAAACCCTCGCCCTGTTGCGCCATACTGAAAAAATAATGGCATTATGTGCACTGCTTCTTTTTTCCCAATATAATGAACAAGTTTTAAAAAATAAAAAAATTGCATTCCAATTCCGATTAGAAAAGAACTTTGTGGCAAATACATGTAGAATTGTCATTTATAAAATACTATTTTTGCCATATTTAATTAACAGATCTAATTTGACACCTCCACCTGTGGCCCACCGTCGAATTGCTCGAGTCGGCTCGGCCTAGTCAAATGAGGCCTAGCATCATTGACAGCGCGTGGCAAGCCCATCAATCGGGTGTGTTTGCAAGCCAGCGGGACTACTTCCAGTCCGCCGGTTAGAATTTGGCAGACCCCCTACTTTGGCCTGTAGTCGGTTCGCTCGAGCCACGCGGCCTAGCATCATATAAACATTCTAAAATCTGCATTTTACTTCCGATCAGCACCAAAGTTTAGGACCGAGATACATGTACCATTGTCAATATGTGTGAAATGTGTAGTAAATCGGTCCTACAGCTTTGGAGTTATGCGGCCAGAAGAACACACAGACACAGGCCCCCACCCACCCCACACACACAGAGAAGCGCTTTATTGCAATACCTTCATCTGTCCTTCGGATAGACGAGGGTAACATTGACAATAAAAATAATTAAAAACTAAATAACAACATTAGGAATAGTGGTAATGATAGTTTGAATAACTGTAATGATAATTATACAATGTAATCATAGTCTTACCAACGCACATAATTGTTCCCTCTAAAAGTTCATAACCTTCAATGCACATGCAGTTGTAGCCTCCTATTGTGTTATTGCATATTCCGAGATTCCCACAGCTATTCAGATCGTCGTCAGAGCATTCATCTATGTCTAGGTTTTAAAATAAAAAATGCGTAACCATAATAATTATAAAACGAGTTACAATGGGGGGGGGGGCAAGAAATAGATTGCTCTAATCAAGCTTTGCCCCCTTTCTTAACTACATAAATTGATCCCCACCCCAAACAATAATCAAATTAGTCAAATTAGGTTTAATAAGGTATAAAGCTTAATATAAACAATAAAATTCCAGCTCTCTTTTTAATCTTTAATTCATAAATGTTATTTACAATTAAGTCATTTATCAAGCTTAACGCCAACGAAAGAAACATAATTTCATTCAGAAATTAAAGTCGTGTTAATTTTTAGACAGCCCAATGTAGTGATAACTTTATTTTTTGATTGAAAATTATATAATTTGTTTTATCGGCATTTATTGTTAACTTATTTGCGTTACACCATCTAGTTTCTTTTTTGGAAAACGAAAATTAACCTCATCGAGATCTAACATACTCCCGGGAAAAGGTTTCAAATAAATTGCTATCGTCGCAAACAATCCGAAATCAAAAAAAGGTCTGTTGAATTTGGAAAATCATTATAAATTAAAAACAAAATTACTCCAATCACTGATCCATGAGGAAAATAGTAGTCGATAGGCAACTTATTAGAAACAAACCTATCAGAACAAACACACTGAAACATGCTACTAAGATAGCCAAAGTAAAGGTGCACCCTTTATCCCTTAATTTTGTAATTTTAAAATTTAAATTTCAAGGTTGATGGAATCGAATGCATTAGCAAAATCAAGGAAAATACCAAGGGACGATTTCGAATTATCGCATTGAAATAAGAGGTTAATAACTAAAGTTAATTAAGTCAATTTTTGTTATATTTTTTTTGACGAAATCCATATTATAGTAGCGGGAAAAGCAATATACAATTTCAAATTCGATTTTCGAACTGTTTAATTCAAATTAACATTTTAGGCATGATTTTCGCTGAGGGCACGTTTCAACAACCTTTCCAGAGTAACGTAATTTGGGCATATTGCGCACTAATGAATGAACTATTCATGAATTTAGGCTGAAATGTAGTTAATAAATATTATGTAGGTTATCTGTGTAATATTATGAATCATTTTTACCAGTGCAATTGGTGTCGGTTCCATTCAATAGTTCAAAGCCATGATTACAGATACATATAAACGCATCTTCGCCGTCGGTACTGCAATCACTATTCACACACATTAACGTACAGTTTGCTGGTGCTGTATAAAAATACAATAAATTTAATTAAAGTTATTCTGGTTTCGTAGAGTAGAGGAAATGTTCAGGTAGTTCTTCACTAACGGATAGTAGGTGGCACACTCGGAAAGTGTCACACCATCCTCTTTAGGGTTGTCCCTTAATAGGGGTTGTCCGTAGTTGTGAAAGACAAATGTTTTTCTCGTTAAACATGGAAAAGTGGCCCTAGCCCAGAAAACCACATGTTTGATTTTGTTACATTGATGATATCTTCATGATCTAGACTTACGGTGAAGATAGTTTTGATACGTTTCCATTGAACAATAATTCGGCTTATCCTACATTAATTAAATTTACTGCTAACAAATCCACAAGCATTGTGGACGTTATGACCATGTAATATGGTGCACAGATCTCTTCCGTAAACCAACGGATAAACATATGTACCTGCTCCCTAGCAGCTCTCATCCCCTGCACTGTATGAACAACAATTCCGTACAGCCAAGCATTGTGTATCCGGAATAGAAATTATCATCGAAGACCCAACGAAACAGCTATCAAAAAACAAAGGACATACTTCGTGATCGAAGACTGACGTACAAACCATGTCAGCGGTCGACCCGAGGGCCACTGCTTACTACATATCAACCGTGGTTACCACTACTAAAGGCTTAACTTAAAACACAAACATATGCCCATCCTATAGACCACAGAACGTCTCCGATCTGTTTTTTGTACAAATACACCGTTCACAGCCTATCGCAGACCACAAAACCTTCGTCATATATTAGTAGAATCTTTAAATTCAAGAGGCAAATAACCTCCTGTTACAGCTGTAATTTGGGCAGTCTCCTTTTTGTAGTTCATAATGCAAAATATTCTCCTTGCTTGATTCTACACAATCATTCAAGAACAACCAAACAAACCACAACCACAAAAAAAAAAAAAAAAAAAAAAAACATTCGTCGTATGAGAACAACACAAGATATATGGATCAGCTATCAAAACATCTAAGCTTAATCAACCAGTAGCCGAATATGGTCACTCAATTGCAAATTTCAGAGTTATTGCAATAGACCATGATGAATGTAGCCACATTAGTCAGTTACAGAACAATATGAAAGAAATGACAGCAGCAATTTTGAGACTAACAATATATTATTCTCTTGCTTTCGTTCACACTATGTGGACGAAAGCTAGAGAATAAATTATATATTGTTAGTCTCAAAAGTGCTGCCGTCATTTCGTTTATATTGCAATAGACCATAATGCGAATTGGAGCAACAGACATTGTAATGATAAAAAAAAATAATAATAATTTCTGGGAAATTAATTAGGAAAAAATTTAGAAATATTTCGGGGGGGGGGGGGCACCCTAGAAAAAAAAAAAGAACTCAAACGGGGTGACAAACTTAAAGCAACATATAGGTTTTTTTCTTTTTTTAAGTACCATACGTAACACACACTTCGGCGGTCAAAAGCTTCCAACGCTGGCGATCTCTTGCCAAATTGATTACATCAGCTGTAGAGTAGGTGTTGCACAAGCTTTTAATTTGGTCCAAAAATTTAAAACGTTGTCTTACCCTTGCTCCTTTTCCCTCAACTTTCCTTTGTAAATCTAACATTTTTATATACCCCTTCCTGATGATATGACCGAGAAAATGAAATTGCCGTTAAGTGATAACTGATAGCAGTTCCTTGTTAACCCCGGCTCTCCTCATAACTTCATTGTTGGTCACACGATCCAGGTCGATATACACAACATTTATTCTTTTAAGGAACCACATCTCGGCTGCTTCGATGTTTTTTTTTTATCTGCTTGGACGACAGTGTCCACGTCTCGCATCCATATGTCAAGATAGACTATATATAGCACTTAAGCAGTCTGAGTTTAAGCTTCATGGACAGGAAGTTAGTGAGGATGGGACGCATTTCTGGTAATTTCTGCCTCGCAATAAAAATTCTTTTTCGGACCTCGGTTTTACACTTGGCATTAGATGTAATCAGATTGCCAAGGTAATTAAAAGTATCCTTCCCCTCAATCACCTCATTACCAATTGTTAAGTGACATTCAGACTTGTTTGCTGACTTGCTGACTACCATCGATTTAGTTTTTGTGCAGTTAATCGAAAGTCCAATTTCGGCCTCTTCTTCGACAACTTTATCTAAAAGAGCTTGCAGTTCTTCTTTGGAAGTTGCGATGAAAACTGTCTCATCTGCGTATCGCAGATTATTGATGTTCACACGGCCGACTTTCAAACCGATCAGGTCTAGTTCGATCGCTCGCAAAACAAATTTCACTGTTAAGGTTGAAAAAAGTCTGGTGATTGCACACATCCTTGTCTAAAGTCTCTGAAGATGTTGATCCATGCGGTTAATATGTTGTCAATCCTAACTGCAGCCCTTTGATTCCACAGGTTTCTAACGATTTGAACATAGGTAGCTGTTTAAATTGAGGATTACGGGTGTTGGGTAGATGCCATTAAACAAAAATGCTGTATAATTGTTGATAATTTTCGTTTACTTATATAGGCTTCCACTTGTATGTTGCATAGTTGCTGTAGATTTTTTTAATATAATAATTATTATTATATTATGCTATACATACATTCACGTGTAAAAGCCGTGATTGTATGTTTGTTATATTATCATAATAATATTAAAAGCACTCAGTAAAGAGCATATCTCCGCCCGCCGCATATCCCATTCTATAAAATAAATCTCTCAAAATATGTTCCTATTTTATTTCAACCACCACCAATACCACCCCACCTAACTTCGCTCCACTCCTCTTCAATACTGCACAGTAATTCGCCCAAACACTCAAAGAGGGGCCTTTCATTGTACTAGTGGTATACCTGCCAATTCCTTGATTCTTCCGGTTAAACACGTCTTCATTAAAACATGACAAACTATTCTTGAAAGCGTCATTTTTATCCATTGATCCATTTTCGAGATATTTAGGTCTGGGTCCTAATGGCCCTCAAGTGCACACCCGAACACCAACACTTAATAATGTCTTCCTTGTAACTTGGTTAAACGTTCATGAAAGTCTCATTTAGGTAAGTTGCAACGTTTTTGAAATATTTAGTGTAGAATGTTTGCTCTTAAATCCCCTTAACTGCTCCACACATGCACACCCTACCCGTAATGTTTTTCTTAATTTGCCGTGATGTTTCCTAGACTTAATTTGCTGTGATGTTTTCTTTTATATTTGTCGTGATGTTTTATTTGAAATTTGCCGTGATGTTTCATATTAAATTTTCCGTGACTATTTTTAATTGCCGTGGTGTTTCAAAATATTTGCCGGGATGTTCTATTTCATTTGTTGTGACACTTATGGGCAACCGAAATTTCTGGCTGTTTACTTTTTAGCTGTTACTTACAGGTGTGTGTATCTACCGTGATCCAGTCATTGTTTCCCACAGCATTGCTGTTTTTTTTAGCATTTTCATTTTACTCTATAGTATTATTAGTATTATTATATAATCCATATGTATAACATCTAAATAATTACTCACAAGAACATGACACTCCATCGTCATCTAGAACAAGGTCACCCGGACAGCTGCATGTGAAGCCTCCAGGTTTGTTTATACAATCGTGTGAACAATTGTGTGCATTTATGTCGCACTCGTTTATATCTAGAATAAATTGCAAAGAATAAATTGTTCATATCACATTAGTTACTTTAGAAATCAAGTAAAATAATACAAAATTGGTTAATATATAATTATACCTTGACACATGTCTCCATCTACGAGCGTGTAGCCAAATCGACAACTGCAGATGTAAGACCCATCAGTGTTTTCGCAAAAGCCTACGTCACCATCACACGGAGTATATTCACATTCATTGTTATCTAAAATGCAGACACATTATTCAGATTAACTATAAAATAATATGTCCACAAAGACGTATTTGATCTTCAGCACATGTAAACTTTGATCATAAGAAAGATAATCCTATGCTCGTACCTAAGTGTTAGTAAAATGATTATATTATGGTTATTTACATTTATATAAATTATTATTGTTTACCTTGAATTTTTAGATATATAATAATTTATATAAAAGCTTTAGGAACATGACTGTTGTCTGTTGATGGATTGTATAAAAGGCGGCGGGAGATGTGTATAAGAGACAGGGTTAAACGTTCATGAAAGTCTCATTTAGGTAAGTTGCAACGTTTTTGAAATATTTAGTGTAGAATGATTGCTCTTAAATCTCCTTAACTGCTCTACACATGCACACCCTACCTGTAATGTTTTTCTTAATTTGCCGTGATGTTTCCTAGACTTAATTTGCTGGGATGTTTTCTTTTAAATTTGTCGTGATGTTTTATTTGAAATTTGCCGTGATGTTTCATATTAAATTTTCAGTGACTATTTTTAATTGCTGTGGTGTTTCAAAATATTTGCCGGGATGTTCTATTTTATTTGTTGTGACACTTATGGGCAACCGAAATTTCTGGCTGTTTACTTTTTAGCTGTTACTTACATGTGTGTGTATCTACCGTGATCCAGTCATTGTTTCCCACAGCATTGCTGTTTTTTTTAGCATTTTCATTTTACTCTATAGTATTATTAGTATTATTATATAATCCATATGTATAACATCTAAATAATTACTCACAAGAACATGACACTCCATCGTCATCTAGAACAAGGTCACCCGGACAGCTGCATGTGAAGCCTCCAGGTTTGTTTATACAATCGTGTGAACAATTGTGTGCATTTATGTCGCACTCGTTTATATCTAGAATTAATTGCAAAGAATAAATTGTTCATATCACATTAGTTACTTTAGAAATCAAGTAAAATAATACAAAATTGGTTAATATATAATTATACCTTGACACATGTCTCCATCTACGAGCGTGTAGCCAAATCGACAACTGCAGATGTAAGACCCATCAGTGTTTTCGCAAAAGCCTACGTCACCATCACACGGAGTATATTCACATTCATTGTTATCTAAAATGCAGACACATTATTCAGATTAACTATAAAATAATATGTCCACAAAGACGTATTTGATCTTCAGCACATGTAAACTTTGATCATAAGAAAGATAATCCTATGCTCGTACCTAAGTGTTAGTAAAATGATTATATTATGGTTATTTACATTTATATAAATTATTATTGTTTACCTTGAATTTTTAGATATATAATAATTTATATAAAAGCTTTAGGAACATGACTGTTGTCTGTTGATGGACTGTCTCTTATACACATCTAGATGTGTATAAGAGACAGGGTTAAACGTTCATGAAAGTCTCATTTAGGTAAGTTGCAACGTTTTTGAAATATTTAGTGTAGAATGATTGCTCTTAAATCTCCTTAACTGCTCTACACATGCACACCCTACCTGTAATGTTTTTCTTAATTTGCCGTGATGTTTCCTAGACTTAATTTGCTGGGATGTTTTCTTTTAAATTTGTCGTGATGTTTTATTTGAAATTTGCCGTGATGTTTCATATTAAATTTTCAGTGACTATTTTTAATTGCTGTGGTGTTTCAAAATATTTGCCGGGATGTTCTATTTTATTTGTTGTGACACTTATGGGCAACCGAAATTTCTGGCTGTTTACTTTTTAGCTGTTACTTACATGTGTGTGTATCTACCGTGATCCAGTCATTGTTTCCCACAGCATTGCTGTTTTTTTTAGCATTTTCATTTTACTCTATAGTATTATTAGTATTATTATATAATCCATATGCTGTCTCTTATACACATCTAGATGTGTATAAGAGACAGAGGGTATACAGATCAAGCCGGTTCTGATATTTCCAATCAAAATGAAAAACTCTAAAGTAAAGAACATTCATTTTGTTAAAGTATGCATGTGCTATTTCCCGGCAGAGAAGTATTTTTTTCAACCATAGTTGGTATGGTAACTAGTCCACTAACTTTAACTTTAAATCCTATATCTGCCCCTGCATTCAGATTACATGTTGCAATTTTTGGGTGTCTGAGATGTTCAAAATTTTAACACTTTAGGCCCGCCATTGTGGAGCTGAGGTAGTATGAATTATACTGTATATAAGCCCTCCAGTTGAATATAAACACAGTGCGATGAAGTCTAACCAACTAGGGGTTTTAATGTATTTATTTATTTTTTATTTATTTTTTTTTATATTATTTTTTTATTTTTTATTTTTATTTATTTATTTATTCATTCATTTATTTATTTATTTACATGAAGATACGTAGATGTGTCCACGAAACATTTATTTCTTTATGTCAGGCGTTAGTCAAAACTTTATTTACAATATATTTAATTGTTTTTTAAGTGAACATTCTATAGTACTTCTATATTCATTACTGTTACACAGTATTATATATTATAAGTCTAAATGAGAACAGTCGTGGTGTATCTAGAGGTTTTGATGTGGGGAGGGGGGGGGGGCTCGATAATCAGCTTAGGAGAGCTATCTCGCAAAATATGGTGATTTTTAATTACTTAACCTTGATTTTGGGGGGGGGGGCGAGACTAGGGGCTCGCAATTAATTTTTGGACAGGCGTGCGCCTCCCCACTTTGTATGTGCTTAAAATTAGACTTTGTTTAAAAGTTGCCCTTTTGGAGCTCCATATAAAACCCGGATGTAGAAGTACGTGGTATAATGATGTTTTTTGGCGTCCCATATAATACTACAATGTAAACATGCCATCGGGAGAAGCTAGCGACGCGAGCTCCAGTAAACGACACGTGACGGCGAAAAGTCGTCCGTAAAATTCATTATCTTCCCTCAATTAAGCTGAACTTATGAATTATGTTTACTTCGTGAGCTGAAGACTTTAATCCTGTTTACAGTTTTACAGACCGGTAGGTTTTGAATCCCCGACGTTGTCTGACGTAGTGTTACATTACTGTGTATAGAGCCTTTGAAATAAGCATAATTATAATATAGATAACGTGAACATACACAAAATCGACCTTATGGTCTCTGATTTGAACAACTTACCAATACAAGATCTTCCGGTTCCTGTATACCCGTCTTCGCAAGTACACATGTAACTTCCCATTGTATCTTCGCATGTGGCACTAGCGCTACACTCATGGGTTAATAATTCACATTCGTCTGCGTTTTCGCAAAATGTTCCATTGCCCGAATAACCACTAACACAGACGCATTTATAGGATCCAGCAGTATTGCGACACTCTGCATTAACGTGACAGATGTATGTGTTCTGTTCACATTCGTTGATGTCTGTGCATTCTAGACCACTGCCTTGATATCCAATTATACACGTACATGTAAATGAGCCATCAACATTATCACAAGTTGCTAGAATATCACATGGACTCTCAATGCATTCGTCAATATCTAAAGCCCAAACAAAAAAGATTTTAAAAAAAATTAAAGAGTTTTCGTTTGTTTCGTTGCATGCCCTGCACACGTTATTTTGGCAATATGCAGTTCATTATTTTGACCATATGCAATTCTGAAGTCCATGATGTTTGATTAATATACCGTTAGCTTGGTGGCCAATAAAAGTCTGAAGTTACAGAAGTTTTGGTGGCCAGTGTTAGTATGTAGTTAACAGAGGTTTTGTTAGAGCGTCCAATAGTCTGTAGTTTCAGAAGTGTTGTTGGAGCATCCAATTGTATGTAGTTGACTGTTGTTTTGCTGGTACATTTAGCCGACTATAACTTGAGGACGTTTGTTTGGTTTGTTTTATTATGATTGTTAGAAGTGTTAATAAAACGTTGAACGATATACAGTGATCGTTGGTTTACCAACTGCGTCCTAACTGAGTCTAAACTACTTAAGGAAGATTGTACCTCCCTTCTAAATATATATTAGCTCAATCTGTATCTTACCTTGACAATCTCTTCCATCGCCGCTGAACCCAGTTGAACATGTACAGTTGTAGCTTCCTGGGACGTTTGTGCACAAGGCATTCAGACTGCAGTCATTTTCCTGAAGACATTCGTTTATGTCTACATACAAGATATCTGTCTCTTATACACATCTAGATGTTTTATAACTGTTAATATGGAATGAGTGGGGAGCCATTTCGACTTTCGACTCTAGGTGTACGTGATATGACTTGTGTTCCCCTTCCATGACTTGCATAAAACACCGATGTTTTCTCTTTGTTTTGTTTACATATTTAATACTGCAGTCCTATTGTTCATTAACCCGTTCCCCAATGCTCCTGGATATTCTACTATGTATCTTGTTTCCTATTTCCTTCCACTGTATTCTCCGCATTTTAGTTATTTCGTGCACCACTTCTCGTTCATTACAATTTACGTTCTTGTCCTTTTTTACATATCATACATAATTTATCTGCGCAATCGGTCACGTTTAGATCGCAGGTTTTTAGTATTTTGTCCACTTATTTTCGCAAGCTTCCTCCCAGAGGTCGCATCGATAAAAATTGCAGCTTCATTGCCTCCTATTTTGAACCATGTTTTTTGTTTTCATGTACCATTTCTATCGATCTCTAAAAGGGTGTTTTAGTTCTCTATCATCTAATATTTCTTTTTAAATTTATTATTTGCTATAATATGGACTTGTCTTCACTCGTTATTACTGTATCCGCTCCGATGCATTCTGCCGATAAAGTGTTTTATGTGTTCATTTTCTCTTCTGTCTAAATGTTTTCTGAGTTGTTTTCCTTTACACGGGCAAGGTCCACTACTACACATTTTTTTTTTTATAAGAACACATATTATAAGAACACTGAAGCTGAAATTGCTTAAAAATTAAGAAGAAATTGACGCTTAGGTAAACTGTTACATCATGAGATTTTCATTTCTAAAAAATATAGAAAAAATACCCCAAAAAATCGTATCTGTACCCTAAATGCAGTAGGTGTGACTATGTAATGCCCTCCTGTACGATAACAAATTTCAATGTTTGGAAAGTGTGTTAAAATAAGAACAAATTAAGAGCATTTGAGACTAAAATCGGCAAAAAAAACCCAATAAAATAAAATAAATTAATAGATATACAAGTAAATAAATAAATAAAAACGAAAAACGAACACTGAGCCATTTTACATTCCACTGGTTCTGGTTTATAAGTAGAGCGATGGATTTAATGTGCATGTAATATTTGATGCGTATGTCTACTGTTCTTGTACACGATCTGTATTCATACATTAAGCTCGAGGGTTGGTAAACGTTTGCTTATACGTGGTTGAGGGTGGTCAGTCGTGGCATTGTAGGATGTACAAAATCACTATTTATGTAATACTGTAGTATTATTAGTGTTTATTTGCCTCTCTGTATCTTTATTGTAGGTGTTCTGTCTCTCAAGACAAAGTTATGTCATCAACACACCTAGTATACATTAGGCAGTTGATGTGCTTCTTCTGTAGCTCAAGCCTAAGTTATTTATCCCACCAAACCATAAATGATGTGGCTACGTAGCCTGTCAGGCAGTTGTCTATTGCTCCTATCCTTTAGATATAAAAACATGGGTGGTTTAAAAGTTACTATTATTATATAGTCTTTTAGCTCGTAGACTACCATTTTCTTAACATATCGTTCGTTAGGTATTGTAGTGGTTGAATCCAGGTACCCCATCTGATTTTCTTTTTTGGAGTTAGACCCAGAACCTGTGGTAGATGGATGTCTGCCATGCTTTAACTCCGTTATACTTTCTTTAGAATCTTATTTAACATGTTTGAGTAGCAGACATAGTTCGTAAGAACGCGATGCCACTCTCTTCAATGAAATCTCCGCATCTTCTACAGCGAACGTAACGTCGACTGATGGGTAAAGCACCTCAACATCCATTCCCCCAGTTATGTATCCTGTTATATTTTGCTCATTTTTACATTCTCTGACTTTAGACAATAAGTCATCTGTGCTTTCTCATGTAGTTTCTCTATCTTTCGTCAGTAGGCGCAGAAACATGACGTAACCGATCCGCACACTGGCCTGAGAGGAGGAGGTGGGGTCTGTATATCTTTGGAGCCTTGTGATCTTTACGTAGTCCGTGGTGAGGGGGCGTCCTTGTTAATCGCGTGGTATTTTACACTCGGGGGTAAATGCTTCTTGATCAACTGGGTAATGAAGTGATATTTATTACAGAGGAGAGTGGGAGAACATGCAGATTCTCCGCAGTAGGGCACACTCTCAAGTTCAATAATATACATTGTGTCTGTGTTTAATTACGGTATTATTTACACATATTTTCTCTATTTATGTTGACGTTCTTCGTCTATACATTTATATGGAATTCTATCATACATACAAAGGAACAGCTGTATGGCGTTATGAATTATTTACCGTGTTCTTGAATAATCACTACTCCTTATAGCAATATGCTATGCGGAAACGGAGGTACGAACCGATTGGGTTAGACGACGGCAGTCGGACTACGCCTGAAGAAGTGTCTATGTATATACTGTCTCTTATACACATCTAGATGTGTATAAGAGACAGAATTTTGGGATGATATATAATATGTACTCAAGCATTCCTATAATATAATTAGGTGTACATTCATGTACTTTTGTCAAACTTATAAAACACTTTATGAAGTCAATTCCAATTTTTGACGAGTGTAAGTACAGTAGTTCAACATGGTTTTCTAAGAAATATATGTTCATATACTGTGCTATAGTAGTTATACCGTTGGAAAGGTATACAATTCTCTATTAAATTGGTATAATTTTTAGTGTTGAAAAAAGTTTCTCCTGACTGCTTCAAAAACATGCCTCAATTGTGACCCTCAATGAAACATACTTGTGTTCCCTGATTGTAAAACAGCCCAAATAAGCAATATATGACGACTTGTCTCATCCCCGCACTTGCCCTTTAATGCAATGCATGTTTTTCGAAATCAGTCTGACTCAGAGGAAACACTATTGTTTGTATATTATGATATAGTCTTGTTCCCCTTGTATTGTATCAGTCGTATGAAACAATACATGACATTTATATGTAGCAATAAAAATTGAATTGAGACAATATGATCCGAAACGGATCCGTCTGCAGATATTGGGATTCCTTCCAATGGATGCTTAGTTTATTTTGTCATTCTGATCGGATTTTCTCTACTGTTCCGTTTTAATTTTTAATAGTTTTGCATTATGTAGCCGTTTGCTGTTTTATGGGTTTTTCCCATTTGCCTCTTAAAATTTATATATTATTAAAGAATCTCTATTGAGATCCAGCGGGCCGCCACTGATGCACGGTAGAGATTACATCTTTAGATCTCCGATCTTGTTCACAAATTCACGGACTAGTGCTGTCTCGTAAGAATTTTGTAGGACGCGTTAAGAGTGACAAAATATTCTCTGTATCTACTGG